CGACGATTAGGAAGCTTTACTATGCTCGGCAGCCTCACATTTTAATGAGCACCAAATTATGATATATAACAAAAATCATATACTGTGCTTCACTCTTCAATGATTGTGAAGTCATATCAAAGCATCATGATCGGACCGAGCGTGAAATCGGTATAACCTTTCAGACAGAATTACACATCTCCCTCTACTGGCAACCATGGTGGAATGAGAAAGCATCGTGCGGGCTTTTGTGGTCGACGGTGGGCCGCAGAATCGCGTTGCTTCGTCGCTTCAGGAGCGGCCGCTCGACGCTGCTGCTGCGCTTGGACTTAGCGAGCGCGGAGTTTAGCGTCGGCTTCCTGAGCTTCGGCGTGCCGAGCACGTGTTACTTCCGTAGAAGTCTCATGCCGACGTTGACGTTTACGTTTGGCTTCCGAAGCCTTCCTCTGCTCCGCGGTGGTGGCGCCGCACTGCAACTAGCACTGCCATTGCCGTTGTTAATTGAGTTTTGCACACCGTTGCACAGAGAGAGAAGAATAGAAGCACAGCAAACGCGGGCTATATACTGCGCCCCGACACTTGCGCCGTCTTTCGGCGTATCCTTTAGAAAGAGTGAGTGAGAGAGAGAGAGAGAAAGAGAGAGAGAGCGTTATATGCACTTATTTGCTGCGCCGCACCTGTGGCAGAGAGGCGATACGAGAGGAGAATAGCGGACACCTGTGTAGGAGAGGAGAATGAGAGAGAGCTGTACATGGGCAACATGGAATCAGACGCTGCAGAACAGACACTGCCCCGAGTATAAGCTGCACTCGAATTAAAAAAACTAAATTATGTGTGTCTGTGGACCCGCAATTGCTTTCCTAAAAATCAATATAATGTTTCTGTCAAGGGAAATTGTCATATCGTGACCCGCGGTAAACGTGCGTATCGTTACTGTGAACACGTGACAGCTTATTTCGCTTTCTTTCGAGTTTTCATATTTTTTGTCGCAGTACATTTCCGCAGAGGTGTTCGTCAGCGCTTGTGTTGTCTGTGCTTCCATTTATTCCCGTTTTCGCGCTGTTCACTCGCAGTACCATGAACTAAATGAGCATTCTGCCGCTTACTATACTTTTTTTGTCACTGCTGTTTAGTTTCACCCTAATTTGACTTAGATAAGATTGTTTATTGCGAGAGAAAAAAAAGCTTTTTGATGTCATGGACGCTGCAACGCCAAATACTGCCGCGCAACCTGAACGTCACAGTAAGGCTTGCGTCAAGCGTTAGTGTCGCATTAGTGAATGAAGAAAGCCCTCTTGCAGGAACACTGTTTAGGTGCGTACGGTAGGAAAACTCAGGTTCACGATGCATTTCAAAGGCGGCCGACGTCGCACGAGCAACTTATTTCTATTGCATGAAGAGCGAAAAACGCAGCTGCTTTGGGCGGCGAAAGGGCGGCCGCTCGCAATTCAAAGGGAGCTTGCGAAAGAATAGCATATGGGCGATCATCATGCGGATCTGCGTTGTCTCTACGCAGGAATCGCCTAAACCACCTGTCTAAGTCGGAGACGCATACTGAAAAACAAACTCAGCTCCGGCAGCTGGTGCTGTTAGTCCTGGAAGTTCTCTCGGCTCGGGCATTCAGGGAATCTCGAAAGCGTTTCTTTCGCGATAGCTCACGATTTCAGGTGGCTGCGTTTGAGCACATGTATAGCATCGTGTCTTCGCAGCTGCAGCGATGCACCCACGCACTGTATTTCGTCGACAGTATCGAATAATATGGAAGAAGCTAAACGACGTTCTCTATTTCTTGGCACTACAATAATGTGCGCAGTTTGGTTATGCGGAGCTTGAAGTGCTTTAAGCAAATCTTGAAATGAACACAGAATTTGGTGGTGGCGGCGGCCTGAGAGTTTCCTATATGTACACTAGAGGGAACTCTGGCGCTACTGTTTATGGGAACTGTGAGGCATGGTGCTTCAGCTATAACATGGGAATGATGAATGGTACACAGATTTCTCTAATATTTGTTCTTTGAGCTCGGCTTGGCTTCGTCAAGCCTGAATTTGCTTTGCCACAAGACGAAGTCAATCAAAAGTTCAGTAGTTATGCTTCATCACCTTGATTCTATTAGGCTCACCAATTGAAATCTGCTCGCGAAGTTCACAACAGTCCGTTTTTTTATTTAAAACGAAAGCAAAACACGGCAATAAACAAAGCCACAAGCGTGTTCGAAACCCGCAAGCATGAAGGCTAGGCAAATCCATGTACTAGCCATCATTTCTATTGTGACTGAACGATCGCAGCACAAGACTTCCCTTTAGTCAACTTAGGAAAGCTCGATGGCGGCGGCGACGACAACGAACACGAAACACGCGATGCCGGAAAGTGAACAGAAACGAGCCTGTGGAATGCTCGCCTGTCGCATGTGTAGTTTTATGCGCTGTTTTCTATAATTGTTGTTCTCTCGATCGCGGGCTTACCAGTGATCAGGCTTTTCAGATATGGTGAAATGTGTATTTTATCGATGTAACTTGTCATTGTAGGTTGCAATATTTTACCGTGGCCTGTATAAAAGAAGTACAGTGTCAATTTTCATGAAAAGGAACACGGCAGTGCGTGGCCTGCACGCTCCGGCGGCTGCTGGCAGCGTGTTCAAGCGGGAGCGGGTGCAACCACAATCTAATTTTGTGTAAGGTTCGCGGCTAGAAAAGCAATCATTCGTTGTTGATATCAAACAAGCGGCAAAGTTGCAACCCCATCCCCCTTCAAGGCGATTACCGACTCTTGCGTAATCGCTTTGAATGGGGAGGGGGTGAAATCTTGCTGCTGGTTACAAGCAACGAATGGTTGTTTCGCTCTCCGTGAGATGACGTGAAAAGAGAGTGTGGTTGCTCTCGCCCCGCTTGAACGCGCTGCCAGCAGCCGCCGGAGCGCACAGGCCACGCGCTACCGTGTTCCCTTTCATAAAAATTGACACTGTACATGACTCTTGTTGCTTGTAGCAGCTGAAGTTTTTCGATGCTAAGCGCGTGAATGGATGTCGAATTTCCAGCAAAAATTAAATTAAAAGTGAGGGCATGGCTTTGAGCAATGCAGTAGAAAAAGAAAAGAAAAAAAACAAAAACAATTGGTCGGGTTCAGGCAAGCCGAACTTGACTTTGAGAGTCAGCAATAATGTTAAAGGTCTCCCGATCGATTGATGTTGCCCTATGGCTGTGTCTAAGAAGATATGGGACGATTAAACAAGGTAAACAAGTTAGCCAATGTCGCATTCGCACAACCTTGAATAAAAGTCTGGTGCTCACTCTAGTAAGGCAATGATTAGGTGGTGACTCAGTTTGCAAAATTCTTACCTTTATATGAACATGTTCTATGAACGCACAAAAAATACGGCGGCATAACATTGCTATGCCAAGATTTGCGTTGCGTGAGCTACAGATAGACGGACGGACTGATGCATGGATGGAATATCGAGCGAACTCACGCGAGTGAAGCACCAGTCTACTAGTGACACGTCACTCCAGGACCTTCCAGGCCTTCTCCAGCGGACCAGCTGTGCGCCACACGACGTCACTGATCCTCGGAAATGTGCAGCACAGCTCTCGAGAAGCTATGCGAGACTTCTCAACGTCGGCTGGCGGAGCTTACGCTTCAAAAGCAGGCTGGTGTAGTGATCGCTTCCCGACGATTGCGGTCAGACTGCCCTACAGGTTAGGTCCATCTTCCTATAGGCGGAGAATTGTGCCAGGGTTCAACAACAATAGCGGAATGACCGGCAATATTATTTAGTAACCGTAGCCACGGGAGCAGCAAATAGCCATCTGAAACTGTAAACAACGTGAACTAACCCAGCAACTGAAACCTTGACAGCGTGCCAATGTGTGAGAGAGAGCGGTCCTAATTGCAGTTGTTTTACACCGTTCAGGTTTCGATTCCCCCATTAGAGTTGCGAAGTGCAACGAAAACGAGAGTGTGTTTAAGGATTCCGGAATGATTCGCTGTCTGTGATATGATAAGCGAAACTGTTACATCGGCTGGAACAATCACGTTTTTGTCCTCTTCCATAATATTTATATATCCCGTCCACCCTTCGCCAGTGCACAGTATCTATACAACCCTGAGCCCTAGTTACCTTTTTGTCCGTCTGCAGGCCCTAAAATGTATATATCTCTTTCTTTAGTCTGATGTGTTTCCATGTATTGAGACGTGGTATCTCTCCATCACTTCCATCAATATGATATCTTCCATCAAATCGGTTGCAGATCCACGAGGAGAATGCTGATGATAGAGCGAAACTCCTTGGACGAAATGATAAAAGATGTAAAAATTGTATGCCGCTATGTACTTTTGGTAAAGGGTATTGCGCGCAGATAAAAAAACGATACAAAAAAGAATGTTTGTTTGCAAAATTTAGAAATCATATGGGCGCTATGTAGGCGATGTAGACGGTATTGCGCACAACTGTTTCGCATTTGCGCTTCGACTATAAGACGACGAGAAGACAAGAAGGCGAGAGTCAACGGCAACGATCGGACACCGTGAGGGCCTAAGGAGCTTCGCTTCTTAACCCATGAAGGCACCGCTTTCGACCGCTGGCGTTCCATAATGATAAGCACGTGCTAGACCATGTCCCTTTTGTTACCTGGCTCTCGGCTCATGATTTTACTGCTGCTATTAGTTGGCATTGCTTCTTGGTTACCCGGTGGCTGCGCACAGCTCCAGAGTATGTGTCTCTGTCTTATGCCTTCTTGCGGTGTTGGCATATATTCGTAGTGTATACCTCCATGCAGACGTGCTTTGATCAGATGGCGGTGCATATGACTTTTACGTGTATGGTTGCTGCTCTGGGACGTCGGAGCACGCTAGTGTTCCGCTTTAATTTACCCACCCCTCCTCCCTTTATGCTGGATCGTCAATAAAGTGGTTTAACTCATTCACTTCGCTCGTGATGCAGACTGCACACGTAAAAAAGCATTCAATTCCCGTAATGTTGATGGTCCCCACGGGGACATTAAAAACACATAGCTTCGCATGTTTTCGTGTATCCTTTTTATTTTCGAAGGAACGCACCTGTGGAGAAGCGTTCACACTGCAAATTCTTCAGCTGACTCAGCAAAATTTCTTAATTTTTTAATGCCCTTGTGTATTGTATTGTTCAGAATCCGAGGAAGCTTTATGGGTATTGCTGCAGCAATGACTTGCTCCGGTAAAAACGATGTGAGAAGAGAGCTGAAGGATCCTATTGGCGTGACATCAACATCTACTGGTTCAGTTATATTGACAACCAGTTTTTCCAGCACGAGGGTGCTGTTCCGCCTGGAAAGATATTTGCGCCGAAGGAAGACCTTAGTCAAATCAACAACCATTCACTGCCACACAATGTTCCTATATATATCAAAAGAAATTTTCAACATGCTTTGACATCTATAATTTTGCTTAAAAAGAAGAAGTACTAATGAGTCATAACATAACCGGGGCAATGTCGTCACAAAGTGCCACTTGGAGAAGGAACATGCATGCATAAAAAGCAATTTTTTAAATGCAAGCATTTTTTAGCAAACTCTATCTATCTATCTATCTATCTATCTATCTATCTATCTATCTATCTATCTATCTATCTATCTATCTATCTATCTATCTATCTATCTATCTATCTATCTATCTATCTATCTATCTATCTATCTATCTATCTATCTATCTATCTATCTATCTATCTATCTATCTGTCTGTCTGTCTGTCTGTCTGTCTGTCTGTCTGTCTGTCTGTCTGTCTGTCTTCTGTCCGTCCGTCCGTCCGTCCGTCCGTCCGTCCGTCCGTCCGTCCGTCCGTCCGTCCGTCCGTCCGTCTGTCTGTCTGTCTGTCTGTCTGTCTGTCTGTCTGTCTGTCTGTCTATCTATCTATCTATCTATCTATCTATCTATCTATCTATCTATCTATCTATCTATCTATCTATCTATCTATCTGTCTGTCTGTCTGTCTGTCTGTCTGTCTGTCTGTCTGTCTGTCTGTCTGTCTGTCTGTCTGTCTGTCTGTCTATCTATCTATCTATCTATCTATCTATCTATCTATCTATCTATCTATCTATCTATCTATCTATCTATCTATCTATCTATCTATCTATCTATCTATCTATCTATCTATCTATCTATCTATATCGACTGACGACCACGATGTTCACACCCGCAGAGGCTGCATGCGAGTGACTGGAAGTCGCAAACCTGGAGAGTCACATCCGGATCTCTTTATCAGCGAGAACTCTGGAGACCGGCGCCGATCAGCTGATCGCCGCTAGCTGAGGGCGAGGAGCAAACCGAGCGCGCCGCATTTATTGGTTTCGTCCGTTCTCGCGAAACGTTTACAACAGCGTCAAAGAGTTCGATTCAAGCGAAGAACAAGAAATTGTCATGGCGCTGATGCACTGTGCCATGGTGTCAGCGCTGACAGCACGAAAGCCTCCAAAGTAAAAAAGCCGGTGGTGGGTGTGACTGTCCCTCCACTCGCGAGAGTTGGCCGGCCATGCAAGCCGCCTACCTCCCGAGATGCGCTGAGACGACGAGGAGTATTTCTGAGAGTGATACGTATTCAGAAACGGTCCTTGAGTTTAATTTGACTTTCCACAGCCTACAATGCAGCACAAACGCGTCTCGAGAACGCGGTGTCTTTAGTGGGTGGTGGTAGAAACATTTATTCCCACTTTAGAGCGCGGGGGCCGAGCCTCCTCATGGCACGTGGGTGCTCCCTCACGGTCAGAAGGCACGCTTACAAAGCAAAGGAAAGCCCTTGAAGTGCGATCCTCTTCATGGCGCGCACGGACAGCACGGAAGCCTCCAAAGTAAAAAAGCCGGTGGTGGGTGTGACTGTCCCTCCACTCGCGAGAGTTGGCCGGCCATGCAAGCCACCTACCTCCCGAGATGCGCTGAGATGACGAGGAGTATTTCTGAGAGTGGTACGTATTCAGAAACGGTCCTTGAGTTTAATTTGACTTTCCACAGCCTACAATGCAGCACAAACGCGTCTCGAGAACGCGGTGTGTTTATTGGTTGGTGGTAGAAACATTTATTCCCACTTTAGAGCGCGGGGCCGAGCCTCCTCATGGCACGTGGGTGCTCCCTCACGGTCAGAAGGCACGCTTACAAAGCAAAGGAAAGCCCTTGAAGTGCGATCCTCTTCATGGCGCGCGAGATTATCCGGCGCTGATAAACGCAGAAGTGCTGGGCATGATGGTCTCCCAGTATGACACTGCCACAGCTGGAGGTGGGGGATGTGGGAAGTTGGGACATGTGAAGAGTATGTGGAGGAAGTCTCCTGGTTTGCCGCAAAGTTTGCGCGAAGAGAGAAATAGGGCTGGGTAACGGGCGTTTCGTATTACGGGGTGTGGAGCACGGCGAGTTTATAGGCATAGCCAATGTGCGGCCTGCGATATGTTTAGGGGTGGAGCTGGGGGTTTGTATATTCTTCGTCGATCCCGGTAATACTGTAGAATATCACGAAAAGAGAGCAAGCACTCCTCGACCTGTGGAGCGGCTCCATTTCTCTTGCCCGGAATGTGAGACCTCGGTTTAGAGAATGAGCCTCCTCGTTGCCAAGGAGGCCGGCATGTGCTGGCGACCAGATGAGGGTTTTGGTACGCTGAGGCTGCCAGAAGCGTAGCAAGCGAGCAGCGGTACGAGATCTCAAACAATTAGCGTAGTTCAAAATAGCTGATTTTGAGTCGCTAATGATTATGGTGGCGGATGCTGAGATGAGAGCAAGCGCGATAGCTGCCTCTTCTGCCTCTGTGGAGGAATTCGTGACAATTGAGCACGAAGTTAGAAGATTTGCCTGATTGTCAGCCACCGCAAGGGCCATGCGGGATCCTGACGCATATTCCGCTGCGTCCACGTAGACCACATCCTGGTCTTCGCCATATTGTCTCAGAAGGACCCGAGCCCTTGCCTTTCTGCGTTTCTCGTCTCGCATAGGATGCACGTTCTTCGGGATGGGGGGTACGTCCAGGAGAAAGCGGAGGTTGGAAGAAAAGGGGACTTCCTCAGGTGAGTGTGTACTTGCGGCTAAGTTTAATTGGGACAAAAGAGCACGGCCAGCCACCGAATTAGGCATACGACATCTTTGTGCCGTAAAGGTGGCTTCAGCGAGTTCCTTGAATGTATTATGTACTCCAAGTTTGAAGAGTATGTCATTGGATGTACTTGGGGGAAGGCGCAGAGCCGTTCTTGTGCAACTCCGTAGAAGCGCGTTAACCCGGTTTCACTGCTTTTGTCGGAGAGGTAGGTAAGGGAGGGAATACGTGGTGCGGCTTTCGATGTAAGTTTGGGTGAGGCGAAACGTGTTTCGCTCGCGTAGGCCAGCCCGACGGTTCACTATGCGACGAATCAGTCGAGTGGTCTGCTGAGCATGTGTTTGGAGAGTCCTAATGAGTTCTCGATGTGCGCTATGTGAGTAGAGAACTAGCCCTAGCACCCGAACTTTCGAGACTAATGGGATGGGGTCGGCACCTAGCGCGAGAGAGATATGGGTAATGGCTGAAGTATGTTGTTTCGGTCGGTAAGGAAAGAGCTTCGATTTGGAAGGCGAGCAGGTAAGGCCACGTTATCGAACATATGTGTCGATGGTGGTTACTGCCAATTGTAAGTGTTCTACTTCGGCGGCGTCACTACCACGGTTTGCCCAGACGGTGATGTCGTCGGCGTAGAAGCTGAAGTGGATGTCGGGGATCTGATCCAGCTTTTGGCGCATATACTCGTCGGCACGCGCCGCACTGCGTTCCTTTGATGCATGCGCGTTTCAGTGCGCCTGGCGTACCTCCGTTACGGAAGGAAGGAGACGCAGCGTTGTTTGGGTAATGCGTCGGCGCGAAATGCAGCATGTCCCATTTCGCGCTGGTTGCCGTAGGCACGGCGCCGACGCACGCTGGTCGCGCCGGGCGTCAGACTCTAGAGTGCTCGCGTTTTGCTAGTGTAGCGTCACTGTGCTCAGCGTGCGCGCGTGTCCACGCTACATTGGTGAATATTGGGCCCTTCATGATGCGCTCGCGGCCATTTTGCTAGCTTCACATACACCAAATTTGGTGTTAAGTGACTTCAATGGATGACGAAATATATGACTGGTGCAAACATGGTAATTCTGACAGGCGTGTCATGTAGGAACATGGCAACCTGCCACGCTCATAGAGTGCTTGCGGCCGTTTCGCTAGATCCACATATACTAAATTTGGTATCACGTGATGTGAACAGACTACGAAGGTAAACGACACATTCAAACATGATAATCGTGACATGAAGTCATGTACGGCACCATTTACCTCCGCCTCATAACGTTGTGCTGATTTTAAAGTGCCATATCAACCTTTCTCATTCGTGCTTCGCATATCATCGATTCCCTCTGTAGGTGGGATCTGCCAATTTTTTCAGCTCTTAACCACCTTCCCACTCGTAGGAATATCGCACAAAGCGGACGGGGTAAAACCTTTCGTGGTAACTGAATTTCTACAGTATCGTACACGAACTTAGATCGTCGATTGTGCGAGCCCAACCAAAAGCATTAGTGGGTGGGTACACAAGAACTCGCGCCTGTTTATGCCGTAATTACCACACTACAATTAAAATAGTTGTACATCTCCTTCCTGTCCCTTTCACTTTTGTTCACTTAACTCTTTATTGCTTTCTTAGAATTTGCCGCCGTATAACTTCAGCTTGCGCCTGGCTTCAGCTTTTGTTTAGGCACAAATATTCACCTAAAGACCATGGAGATTAACTTTACTGATATGGGTTGCAACGCGTGATGACCTCCATTGGAACGAGGGGAAGGGGCCGGGAGCACAAATTTACGGCAATAAGATGGTGTCGCCGGCCTGACGTCACACTGAGGTTCTAGCTGGACCCCCAGCTCAGAGATAACGCGTTGTACCTGTCACCGCTCCAAAATGTTTATTTACCTAAAATGGCTTGAGTTTGTTGGTTTATTTTGTCCACTTTGCACAATGCGAAGGAGCGACGACACGCTGCCATGCCAAGTGCGGGCATTCCCGTACGACAGTACTTACTCGACAATGTCGACGATTATTCTCGTTGAAAGGTTGATGCTCACGATGGCCCTAACAGGAGTCCAGAGCACCTCAACAGTGGTACTGAGTGTAACTGTGAGGTTGTTCACTGCTACATCGGCGTAGAGGCGCGCACCACAATCATTCATGGAAGCCAAAAAGTCTCCCGACCGGCGCAGCGTGGACAGGCCTCGGAGAGTTCCGTTATTAACCTTCACTGTAGCAATATTTCCAAACAGGTCTGCTTCCGTTGAAGAGAGCGGTGCTGGATCTAGGCCGTATTTTACAACGGCATTGCGGAGTACCACTTCAACCTTCCTGCAGTTACTGCATTTAGCTGCGAAAAGAACGAATTGTGAAATGTAGAATGGAACCTGAAACCTGTATGGTAGGGGAAGTTCATGGCGGAAAAATCAAGCGTGCACCAGTCGTTACAACCGCTAACAGACAAAGATTCGCGCTACTGGGAACTTATTGACACTTGTTCACAATCTAGATTGGGAATAAGTTTTCCGCAGGAGGAACAAAGCGTCTTTGTTTCTGTGTCTGGTTGCAAGGATTGGTCGGCGTCAGATTTTTCTGCGAGAGCTACATGGGCAGACGAATATAAGTTTCTTTAACCCTGAATGCAATATGTACTACTGCAGTAGTAGTACATATTGCATTCTATAGCCATGAATGCAATATGTACTACTACTGCAGGTAGAAACTTTACTTTGTAAGTAATGTTCAGTTGCATCAAAGGGTATTTTCTTACATCAAGTTACATGACGCTTATCTCTCCAAACTTGTGCCACTCTGCATATGTTTTTTGTCGAGTCAAACATACTTTCAGATATTTTATGCTGTATTAAGCATATTGCAACATGTGCCGTAACACACACCTTTACAAAGTAAGTTGTTAATGTTTGTGTTTGTCACTTGCGCAGAATAACTTATTCGGCAATTATTTTCACACACCGAAAGGAATGCGGCTACAAGTTTCTGCAAAATCCCAAAATGGGGCACGTGGGAACACTTGGAGTAAGTAAAGTGAAATTGTGTACGTGTATTACATTGGCATGTGAACAGCGGCAGTCGGCTACTAATTTAGTATTTACAACACCAGATCATCTTCAGTGCGATAGACCAGGCTAAACAACTATGATCATTGTTGTTCAGGATTGAATGTTTGATAAGTGGGATCTAATTATAGTCCCAAAACCGCCGTACGATTATGAGAGGTGCCGTAGTGTAGGGCTGCGCGAATTTCGACTACCTGTGGTTCTTTAACGTGCACCCAAATTTGAGCACACCGGCCTACAGCGTTTTCGTCTCCATCGCAAATGCTGCCGCCGCAGTCGGCATTTGATCCCGACACCGGCGGGTCAGCAGTCGAGTACCTTAGCCACTAGACCCCCACGGCGGGCGATCGTTCAGGCATACTGATACTAAAGCGAAAAGAGGAGATCATTGAAATTCTCGTGAGCGATGATTCGACTTGAATCGGCAGGCCAGGAAATACGATATAATGTAACCATTAGCCGTTTATCGCACGCACGATTCATACTTGTATGCAGAAAGAATGTACGGAAAATTTGTCGTAATGCGACGGACAAATGTTAGAGTCAAAAATGATACATACGAAAAACAAGCTAAGTCACCTCATCTCTCACCAATAAACAAGCGATAAAGAAAGCTTACAAGACGACAGAGAGGTGGGCGTGAGCTGTCAAAGTTCGGTTTCCTGTTCTTGCTGAAAAAAAAAAAATAAACCATCAAGGTTTTGAAAAGCGCTTAAATGACCAAGACAGACAAAATTGAAGATGTGGCAGGCACTGGCTTCAAACCAAGATTTATTCAAAAGTGCATACGTAGTTCATTCTTCAGTTCTCGAGGTTGTCATCTAAATAACATTTAATGCAGACAGCACACGAAATAAATGCTTTTAGAACAGTGTATGATAAGTGTGTGCTTCGGAATAAATATACTTTTCTGAAGTCAGCGCATGCGCTTCAACTTTCCTCTCTGTTCTTGTCGCTGTTTGTGGTGTTTGCGTACTCACAATGCAACCTTGCTGTTGTATATATCAGTGACGAGGTACGATAACGCCACGTACTGTTCCTCGCACTGTGCTTATCAGTTGATCAGGTTGCTGTCTGGTTACTTTGCACAACGCCTACTTTTTTCATCAATGCCAGCCAAATGCGCCCAACCCAGCTGTTCGCCACCCCCTCCTCAAGCCCTTTCCCGCTGTCTTCCATCACCTGGCCTTCGGGTGTGCTTTGCAGTCATGATAGAGAGTATAGTCCCTCAAGCAGTGTCTCATGACGGAAATCCTATGATATACTTGTTTGTTCAGTTGTGTACAGATCCGGCCGTAGGGCGGCGTCTTGCATTCCTTGTGTTCACAATATTGGCAGTCCTGCTAGCTCTGTGAAATATGTGGTGTTTTGAGATAGCGTGTCGCCGTTGGTGGCGCTATGCGGGCAACCAATGGAAAACAGTCACTTCATCGTTTCGTCATGCGCTGCTCTGAAGCGGCGGCCGCATTATCTTGAGCCAGAAAGAAGCTGCTTGAGGAGCGAATCTGACAGACGTGTGATATTGGTGTGGGAAGTACGTCTATCTCATCTTCGGTGGCGTGACGAACCCTACACCACTTGGGGAACCCTTAAATTGGGGAACCCTTAAAATTTGCCTATAGAAGTTGAACGCGATAGCTAAATCCGGCCCCCAATGCGCCCTTCAACCACTAACGAAAACACACAAACGCACACACTCACGCACACAAACGCGTGCATGCACAAGCGCGACGTATCTATATTAATGTAGTGACTGTGCAGTGTGGCCACTTATCTCTGCTAGAACAGTGCTCTGCTGTAGTTGAGACGCTAGAACCTTATCTAGTGAGGGAAGTCTCGCTGTATTATTCGAGGAGCTATAGGGTGTTAAGTGGGATATAATAGGGCTCAGTGAGGTTAGGAGGACAGATGAGGCCTATACGGTGCTACAGAATGGGCACGTCCTTTGCTATCGGGGCTTGGCTGACAGAAGACAACTTAGAATGGGGTTTCTAAGTCATAGAAACATAGCTGGCAACGTAGAGGAATAGTTTAGCATTAATGAAAGGGTGGTAGGTTTTGTAATTGAACTGAATAAGAAATACAAGATGAAGGTGGTACAGGTTTACGCGCCTACATCCAGCCAAGATGACGCTTCAGTTGAAAGCTTCTATGAAGACGTGCAATCGGTAATGAGTAAGGTGAAAACAGAGTGTACTATACTGATGGGAGACTTTATTGCAAGGGTAGGGAAGAAGGAGGCTGGAGACCAGGCAGTAGTAGATTATGGCATTGGTACTAGAACGCCAGAGGAGAGCTACTAGTAGAATTCGCAGAGCGTAATAATTTACAGATTTTGAATACCTTTTACCGAAAACGAGGAAACTGCTGGTGGACATGGAGGAGCCCTCATGGAGAAAATATGAACGAAATAGACTTTATTATCAGTGCACACCCGGGTATCGTGCATGATGTGGAAGTGCTTGGCAAGGTACGATGCAGTGACCATAGAATGGTGCGGTCTCGAATTCGCCTAGACTTGAAAAATGAACGACAGAAACTGATACGCAAATGCGAGTCAATGTGCTAGCACTGAGAGGGTAAGTACAGGAATTCAGAGTCTCGCTTCAGAACAGGTACTCGGCTCTTAGTGAGAAAACCAACCTTAGCGTAGATACAATGAATGATAATCTGACGATTTTCACTATGGAGTGTGCAGTGGAAGTTGTAGGCAAGGTAGTTAGATAGGACACTGGCAAGCTTTCCCAGGAAACGAAGAATCTCAGTAAGAAGCGTCAAATCTTGAAAGTTTCAAGTACAACAGACAAAATAGAGCTGGCAGAGCTTTCGAAGTTGATTAATAGGCGTAAGGCATGCAATGTAAGAAGGCATAACATAGAAAGAATCGAACACGCTCTAAAAAACGGAGGAAGCGTCAAAGCAGTAAAGAGAAAACTTGGGATAGGCAAAAATCGGATGTGGAACAAACAAGGCAAAATAACTACCAATATGGATAGGGTAGTTAAAATAGCGGAGGAGTTTTACAGAGATCTGTACAGTAGCCGGGACAACCACGACCTTATTACTATAAGAACTAGCAGTAACCCAGATGACACCCCACCAGTAACGATAGAAGAAGCCAGAAAAGCTTTAGAGAACATGCAAAGAGGCGAAGCTGCTGGTGAGGATCAGGTAACATCAGATCTGCTGAAAGATGGAGGGCAGATTGTGTTAGAAAAACTAGCCACCCTGTTTAAGAGATGTCTCTTGAAGGGCAGAGTACAAGAGTCTCAGAAGAATGCTAACATCATCTTAATTCATAAAAAAAGAGATGACAAGGACTTGAAGAATTACAGGCTGATCAGCTTGCTCTCTGTAGTATACAAGCTATTGCAAAGGTAATTGCTAACAGAGTAAAGAAAATATTAGAATTCAATCAACCAAAGGAACAAGCAGGATTTCGAACAGACTACTCAACAATCGACCACATTCATACTATCAATCAAGTAATAGAGAAATTCTCAGAATATAACCAACCACTATACATAGCCTTCACAGATTACGAAAAGGCGTTTGATTCAGTAGAAATATCAGCCGTCATGCAGACACTTCGTAATCAGGGCGTCGATGAAGCATATATAAACATCCTGGAAGAAATCTACAGGGGATCAACTGCTACCATAGTGTTTCATAAAGAAAGCAACAGAATACCGATCAAAGAGAGTGTAAGGCATAGGGACACAATCTCCCCAATGCTATTCACCGCGTGCTTACAGGAGGTTTTCAGAAGCCTAGAATAGGAACAGTTAGGGGTAAGAGTTAATGGAGAGTACCTTAGTAACCTGCGCTTCACCGATGATATTGCATTGCTTAGTAACTCAGGGGACGAATTCCAACTCATGATTATGGAGTTAGACAAGGAGAGTAGAAAGGTGGGTCTTAAAATTTATTTGCAGAAAAGGAAAGTAATGTACAACAACCTCGGAAGAGGGCAGCGCTTCGAGATAGGCAATAGTGCACGTCAAGTTGTAAAAGACTATGTCTACTTAGGGCAGGTAATAACCGCGGAGCCGAACCACGAGATTTAAGTAACTAGAAGAATAAGAATGGGGTGGAGCACATTTGGCAAGCACTCTCAAGTTATGACAGGTAGATTGCCACTATCCCTCAAGAGGAAGGTATGTAACAGCTGTATCTTGCCAGTACTTAGCTACGGAGCAGAAACCTGGAGACTTAAGAAGAGGGTTCAACTTAAACTGAGGACGACCCAGTGAGCAATGGAAAGAAAAATGGT